AAAAAAAAATCCAAAAAAACTAAATTTGTATCGATAATTTGAACTGTTTAATGTATAGAACTCGTCAATTATTTCATTATTGTAAAAAATCACGTTAATTGGATATCGATAGTCTCTTGATTAGATCACATTTGTGTCAACGGTAAATATGGTTTTTAAAATAAATTGCTTATACAAATCTAAACTAATTTAATTAAATGATTATCGATATCCGATTAATATGCTTTTATTTATTTATTTATAGAAATGGAGTATTTGGCAAACCCTACATATTGAATATTTTGGATTATCGGTGCGAGTTTCGTGATAGACTCGTAGAGATCTAATAGTACCCTCCAATCTCTCAATTAATATATCTTGTGTATTATTAAGTTTTCTATTTCTATTAGGTTGGGTTTAGGGTTTCTTTTATTGAAAATGGAGCATCTCCAATGCACTAGGCATATAATACTTGTTAGTTAAAATGCCTAGTGTGATTCACTTTTTTCAATTCCAATGCACTAGGCATATGATTAGGCATTTTGGCTCAACTCATATTCACTAGCTACATGTAGCTGGCCTTCAATGCTAGGCAAAATGCATTCAATCATTAGGATCATTTCCCTCCATCTTTGTTGTTGACGTGGTATTCTATAAAATTAATAGTATTTGGATAAATAGCTAAAATAAAGAGCATGGTTGGAGTAAAAATATAAAACAGTTGATACAGAAAACACTTTTAAGAAAATTCTATTTGTTTATTTTCTGTATTTTTTGTTTTCAATGATTTTTTTTTTAATATTTTAAGCAATTTTTTTTATTTTTTAGATACACCTAATCTAAATATACTTAAGAAGTATAATATTTTGTGATTTTTTTAAATTCATGAAATACAAAAAAAAAAAAAAACCAAAAAAACTAAATTTGTATCGATAATCTGAACTATTTAATGTGTAGAACTCGTCAATTATTTCATTCTTGTAAAAAATCACGTTAATTGGATATCGATAGTCTCTTGATTAGATCACATTTGTGTCAACGGTAAATATGATTTTTAAAATAAATTGCTTATACAAATCTAATCTAATTTAATTAAATGATTATCGATATCCGATTAACATGATTTTTTATTTTATTTTATTTATAGAAATGGAGTATTTGGCAAACCCTACATATTGAATATTTTGGATTACCGATGCGAGTTTCGTGATAGACTCATAGAGATCCAATAGTACCCTCCAATCTCTCAATTAATATATCTTGTGTATTATTAAGTTTTCTATTTCTATTAGGTTGGGTTTAGGGTTTCTTTTATTATAAATGGATGTTAAGATGCATTGTGGGAGGCATCATTCACTCAGCCTTTTTTTAATATAGAATTGTGTTTCTTTTATGGAATTCTAGTTTTCTTTACTAAAGCTAGGGGTGTAGGATTATTTGTAAGTATGTTATGATTCAATTATAGTTTTTATTGTTAGATTATATTGATTGATTGATTTAAATATTTTTGAGTAAATGTTTTGTTCTATCAGCTTACTTGGCTCCATTTATCCAAAAATACTTTTCAGAAAATTATACTTTCTTATTTTTCGTATTTTTTTTTTGTTTTTACTGAATTTTTTAAATATTTTAAGCAATTTTTTTTTAAAAACTTTTTAGACACACCTAATATAAATATACCTAAAAAGTAAAAAAATAGTAAAAAAAATGTTTTAAAAATTCATTAAATACCAAAAATATATAAAAAAAGAATTCAGTATATTTTTTGTATTTCTATGTATTTATTAATTTTTAAAAATATTTTTTCATAATTTTTTACTTTTTATATACATCTAAGTAAGGTGCATCTAAAAAAGTAAAAAAAGTGTTTAAAATTTTAAAAATATTCACTAAAAACAAAAAAACACGAAAATAAAAAAATTCAGTTTTTAAAAAATTTAATTCAGAAAACTTAAACCAAACATACTGATTTGTTTTATTGTAGATTTCGGGTACGATAAAAGCTTAGAATTCTTTGCAAATCAAATAACTACATTTTTATAGTGTAATAAATCAATCAAAATAATAAATCTTTTGAGATATTATTTATTGAAAATAATTATTTTATCTTCCGATTGGAAATACCCTTTGTGCAATTTTCAATTGAATTATACAAATTGAATCTAAAATATTTTATAAATAAAACATTGGTGGTGAATCCTTAATGCCTTAGTGCCTTCACATTATTGTTACTTCAAAATATTTTTAATCAATTATTTTCTCAAATCATTCAAATCTTTGTCAATTAATTTAATTTAATTTAAAAATTCAAAACCAACAAAAGTAATTTATCATGAATTGTATATATATATAACAATTATGTTTGTGAATAAAATATATATATATATATATATATATATATACATTTTGGGGAAAGTACCAATAAATCTCATTTCCATATCTTACTAACCAATAAGTTATTTAAATAATCTAACGAACCTAATAGTCCCATCTACGTAGAAATGACAGATAACCCTACATTTTACGTCTAGAATGTTGGTTGATACCCATAAATAACCGAAATATTTAATTACACGTTTACTCAAAGTTTACTAAAGGGTTTTGTACTCTTTTTTGGAATGTTTGGAGAATTCCACAAATTAAGTCATTCCAAAATAAGAAGATTCTCATATTAGCTTCATCTTATTTTGAATACCCAAAACCCACTCCAATTTCTCTCAATATGGTAATGTGAGAGAATCTCCAATTGTTTACCAAATTTTTCATCAAATTTGAGTTAAAAAAGACCCATTTTCTCATTTTGATACAGACTGCTTCAATGGTGGACATTAAAATAAGGGTCGACCAGTAAGGCATATTTTTTTTTTTTTACCTCTTCGAACCTTTTGACCTGTTTGAATCAAAATTTTTGCGAGGAATCGGTGGACCGGTTGGTCAACCGGCTGGTCGACTAGTTGGTCTCCCCAACGGTCACGCACAGTGAAATGGTGAAAGATGCTGCCTGTTCTCACTTTGATGAATTTTTTGGTGAATTCTCAATTTGATACCGATTTAGTGCAACCGTTGGAGCACTAAACAGTGACTTTTTCACCAAAATTCAAATTTGATGTCAAGTTTGGTGAACCGTTGGAGATGGTCTGACAATGTGACATTATTCTGATGTGTATGTTAGAGTCTTATTAAATTTTAACCAAATGTGTAATTTTTTGTAAAATATGACAATGTGACATTATTCTAATATGTACACTTAAAGTTTTACTATTATTTTATTAAATTTTTATCAAATGTATCATTCTTAAAATGTGGCAATGAGACTTGATTCTAATGTGTCTACTATTGTCTTATTATTATTATTATTATTTTCAAATGTGTCATTCTTTTTAAAATGTGATAATGAGACATTTATTTATTAGTGTCTTATTAAATTTTTGACAAATGTGTCATTATTAAAATGTGACAATAAGATATCATTTTAATTTGTGCACAATCATCCTATTACGTTTCCAAATGTTAATATATTTTATTTGAGAAATTTTAATGTGAAATAAGATTTATAAGTTGATAAGTATATTTATGAAAAATGGTCCACAAGTTAATAAAAATAGATTTTAATGTACAATGTGACAATGTATATATGAAATCAAACTGACAGCACATACTAAATGCATTACAACCACACGCAGAAACATGAAAATGGGTAGAGAGCGGTGTCGTTTGGTAACGTTTACGTTTTCAGTTTATATTTATAAAAATTTTATAAACTGATACCACACGAAACATGAAAATGGGTAGAGAGCGTTTAGTAATGTTTAAGTTTTTGGTTTATGTTTATAAAATTTTTATAAATTGGTTTTTATTTATTTTTAGAAAAATATAAATTACAAACGCATTTGGTTTGAATAAAATATTTAAAAAATTTTAAAAACATAAAATAAAAAATATGTTTGTTCAGGTTTAAAATATTTATATTTATTTTTTATTATTTATGACAATAGTTTCATATATATTATAATTGAAAAAAAATTAATTAAAAAACATTAATTGAAAAAAAAATATTGAAAAAAAAATTATTTGAAAGGCGAACCAAAAAAACTGTGCGCAAATATTAACATTCCAAGTACACATGGAATGTATGCCATGTGGATTTGATGTGCAAACCCATTGTGAGGGAACCAGTGTTCATGTGCATTTGAACATATCCGAAGCAGACCATCACATGACAATAACAACGTGACTAACTTAAAGGAAAAAAAGGCACAAACTAACATATGTTCCACAAAGGAAAAAAAAGGGAAACGTATTACACTAATTAGGGCATATTCGTAAATTTAATTATTAAAAAAATATATTAAATTCACATTTTTAGATGTGATTAATTGGTTTATAAAAAAATTTATGAGACTGAATGGATATAGGTAAATTATCTTTTTTTTTTTTTTTAATAATTTTTTTTTTTTTTTTTTGGTGTTAAATATGTAGACACTTTTAAAATGATTGACATAACATGTATGATAGAAACTCAAAATATAGTGGAAAATCTAATTATAAAGCAAAACTAAATTTTATTCCTGATTCACTTTAAAACCAACTTAAACGAAACCGAATCAAACCAAACCAAACCAAACCGTATACAACTTTATTTTCCTATGAACATGTAAAAAATTTCCCAACTATTTTAGCAGAGGCGGCTATAGGTGCCACAGGAGGAATCTTATAATTGCCACCTTCCAATCAGACGAATCCAAAGGAGCCCAAACAAATCTTCAACTATAACTTATTATTTAAATCATCTTTAAAAACTCTAGCTATTATCTACTAATCTTCAAGTCATTACAAAACTTGTCAAATTATGCTATGGAATTTTTCTTATGCACCTTATGATGAAGACTTATATATTGTTTTTTTTTTGGATATTTCTGTTCCTTCACATAGGAATTTGCGATGTGAATTAGAGAGGAAGACAAGAAAATTAAAAAATTAGGGACAAAAAACTGGACGAAGCGAGAGAGAGAGAGAGAGAGAGAGAGAGAAGCCAAGCTTTGAATTGATAAAATGTATATAAAGAGGTCCACTCAATATTGGTTATGTGCACAAGGCATCACCCACTTCTCAAGCATTTGGCCTCTACACCATCTACTATAGATTATGGTGAGCCTTACTTCATCTAATTCTCTCTTTCTGCTAAGAACACAAATATATAAGAGTTTTAAAAATTAAATTTTTTTTTGTAAAAATATAAATTTTGTTGCAAAAAATATTTAGAGACTAATTTCAGTTGTCGCGATAATAATTACTAAAAGGTCATCCTGAAAAGTCAAAAAAGAAACTTTTAGGGGCAATTTTGAAAATATTGCTAATAAATGCACTTTAATGGACAAAATAACTTGGTCCCAAAAAGGTTTACTTTTGTGGCAAAACATTTGGTCTCAAAAGGTTAGTAATTTATCACTAAATGTCTAATTTTGTAGCTAAAAATAAAATAATAGCACTTTTCGTGACAAAAATATTTTGTCCCTGAAAAGTGATTTTGTCCCTAAATTTGTCTCTAAAACCTTAATTTCTTGTAGTGTATACACAAACTAGAGTTTACAGAATTTGTTGGTAGGATTCTCTTTTGAGAAATCTTATCTGTCTTTATACATGTTGTGTATGGTTCTATGACTGATTTGATTTTGCGATACGTGTTTCTTGACTTATTCTTCTCTCATTCATTTTTTGCTATGAACACAAAAATCAAACAAGTAGTACATTGGAATGGATAGGATGTTAAATGAGACGTTAGTGGGAACCATCCATATCCATTGTGTTTGATTCTGTGATTGGTTTATGTATTCCTAAACTCATTCGTTTTTCAATTGTTGTTCTTCTATTGATGAACACAGGAAGGCAAGGAGGAAGGCAAGCATGCTGACGAGTCATTGTACTCATGGAGCCAGAAAAAAGGAGGATTCAAGGCTTGCCTATTTGTTTATGGTAAGAAAGATTGTTTGAAGAAAATTGTTTTTGACTTGATTACTATTAATACATATATAAAACTAATTACTTTGTTTTTTTTTTCCCCTGAAGCATTGTCGACCTTGGACAGTGTTGGATCCGTTGCCAACATGTCCATTTTTGTTCTTTACTTCAAGAATGTGATGCGATTCGATCTGTCTCAGTCTGCAAATACTTTCACAAACTACATGGGTTCAGCTTTTTTGCTTACTGTCGTGGGAGGTTTCATCTCGGACACTTACTTGAGCAGACTCACCACATGTTTGAGCTTTGGACTACTTCAAATTCTGGTAAATAGTGAAATTTCACACCCATGAATCTAACCGCCAGCTCGTGCACTGGGTCACCTTCTTTTTTCTTTTTTAAAAAAAAAGAAAAAATCTCAAAATTTAGTGCTCCTAATGATTAGATATTGCACGTTCTTCTCTTTGGTTGGTCCTTGATTATTAGCTCAATTGATTCATTCATGTTTGATTTGCAGGCATTGACAATGATCACAATCCAAGCCTTCTCGAAGAAATTACATCCTGAAGCTTCTTGTGGGAAGTCTACTTGTGTGAGAGGTGGTGAAGCACTCATGTTTTATAGCTCCCTCTGTTTGTTAGCATTGGGAGGAGGTGGAGTTAGGGGGTCCCTTGCACCACTTGGGGCTGATCAATTTGACCCAAAGGATAAAAAAGGAGCTAAGGGTCTTGCAACTTATTTCAATTGGTTATTCCTGAGTATAACCACAGGAGCAATTGTGGGAGTTACTGCTGTTGTGTGGGTTAGCATGAACAAAGATTGGTCATGGGGTTTTTTAATTGGCACAATTACTTCCTCTCTTGGTTTTATTGCTCTTGCCATGGGAAAGCCTTTCTACATTACTCGACCTCGAAGGACCAGTCCTATTACAAGGGTGGCACAGGTCTCTCTCTCTCTCTCTCGCTCTCTCTCTCTCGCTCTATGTATGTATGTATGTATATGACGTTGAAAAATTCTAGGTACAAGGAAATAGAACACATACAGTCTACAGAAAATGCATTATTGAGAGTCTACTAAATACACTTTATGTGCCCTTTTCTATGTTCTAATTATGTGTAGTATTTCTTATACAACATTGTTAAGAAATTATTATTTTTACTTGTGTGGCAGGTTATTGTGGTTGCAATTAAGAATAGAAGGTTGACACTACCAAAAAATCCTGAAGAACTGTATGAAATTAATGATAAATTAAGAGACCCTTCAGAAGAAAAGGTTCTACATACTAACCAGTTCAGGTAAGAACTCCCCTAAAAGGAAAGGTATTTGTAGTACTACAAACTCTTTGCACAATTGGTAAAACATACCATTAAAGTCATTTTCACTAGGGGTGAAATCTATGAAGCACGGATATGGGTACGAGTACTGGTACTGGTACGAAACGGGTACATCGATATGGTAAAATCCAAAAAAAAGAGAAAAGATATGGGTATGGCTTGGTACGTTTGAAAGAAAATATTTATTTTTAATTTGGAATGCAAAAATTGATTAAATGGTTTAATTTCAACCTATAATTAACATTTAATGCCAAAAGTAAAAGTATAAACCAAAATTAAATGTTATTATGTTAAATAACTTACAAACCATAACTTAATTTTAAAATCATACTAAGCATAAAACTAAAAATAAAAAAGAAGTTTTGTGAAATGAATTTTATCTCTGTAGCAGAAAAAAATATTGTTTAGATTGAGGTACGGTACAACTTGAGTATATACTAGGTACGTATAGGTACGTCAAAAATTAAGAAATTTTTTTTTTGAATACGTGTTTCATATATTTGGTACATATGCAGAAATACCATACGTCAGTAAGTATTCGGTACGGGTACGACATATTTGTCGAAGAATTCATGCTTCATAGTGTGAAACTCAGTGGGTTCGGATGGGTTGAGAAGTTGTCCAAGCCTAGTTTGAATTGTGCTAAGAGTTGCCCATGCCTTCCCAAGCCTAGTTTGCAACCCGAAATTGTTTGCTCAAACCCAACTTGAGTTAGGCTTGAATTGCTCGAGTTGCTGGACTTGCTTACAAATTTCAGATTGGGGTTTGGGTTGCTCAGGTTGTTTGGTGTCTCTGCCAAAGAACACCCTAAATTTAATTTGGGCTTATGAATTTTTGCCAAGCTTGCTTCGAATTCAAACATATGTTGCTCCAGCCCTAAAATTGTTTGGGCTGGGCTCGAGTTGGGCCCACCTTAGTTGCACCCTTAATTTTCATAGGTGCTTATTTGGATGGCATAGTTTGATGGTCATTCCTCACCATGGTAGTAATATCATATTGGGGAAAATTATCTGCATTAAAATCTAGCAAACTCTGCCTATTCGGCAACAAGTTATCTGTTTCCTAAAAATGGAATGTTTTCAGAAAACTTGTTCGACAAACTGCACTAAAACTTCCAATTTTGTGTTCACATCCAAGATTAGCAGACCTCCGTTAACTGTCTTCTTTTAAGTTTATGAATCATAGATGCACCATTTTTTTAATATTTGGTTATGCTTTCTAGTGATGTTAAAAACAACCATGGTTGCGTAACCGATTATTGTTGTTAAAATCAGGTCACTAGACAAGGCTGCCATTCTTCCAGATGGTAAGAATCCAGATCCATGGAGAGTATGCACTGTGACACAAATTGAAGAAGTGAAGATACTAACAAGAATGTTTCCCATTTTAGCAAGTACAATCATAATGAACACATGCTTGTCCCAATTGCAAACATTCTCAGTAATCCAAGGCTACTACATGGATCCACAATTAGGTTCTTTAAAGGTTCCTACAGCCTCAATACCAGTAATTCCTCTAGTTTTTATGTCCATTCTAATTCCTGTCTACGAGTTCCTTGTGGTCCCATTTGCAAGGAAGATCACTGGGCATCCAGCTGGCATCACTCAACTTCAACGCGTTGGAGTTGGGCTTGTTCTCTCCGTCATTTCAATGGGTATAGCTGGCATTATTGAAGTGAAGAGAAGGGATCAGTTCTTCAAAAACCCGAGGAAGCCCATTAGTCTCTTCTGGCTTTCATTCCAATATGGTATTTTTGGAATTGCAGATATGTTTACTATGGTTGGATTGTTGGAGTTTTTCTATAAGGAAGCTCCATCAGGAATGAAATCAATGTCCACTTCTTTTGCACCACTATCGCTCTCTTTTGGCTTCTTCTTAAGCACTGTTTTTGTTGACATTGTAAACTCCATCACCCAAAGTGCTACTCCAAGCAAAAAAGGGTGGTTGAAAGGGCAGACCTTGAATGATAGTAAACTAAATCTGTTTTATTGGTTCCTAGCTATCCTTAGTTGCATAAATTTTGGAAACTATCTCTTTTGGGCTTCATGGTACAATTATAAAGACAATAATACTACAGAATCCCAAATGGAAACGAAGGCTTTGAACGTTTCATCGTGTACTTCCAAAATCGAAGACACCAAGGAGGAATCAAAAGTTCGTGAAGAATTACAAGAGAATAAGGAATCTCAAATGGAAACGAAGGTTTTTAGTGGTTCATCATGTACTTCCAAAGTCGAAGATACTGAGGAATCAAAAGTTTGTGAAGAATTAGAAGAGAACACAGAATCTCAAATGGAAACAAAGGTTTTGAATGGTTCATTGTGTACTTCCAATGTCGAAGACACCAAGTAGGAATCAAAAATTGGTGAACAATTAGAAGAGAATACAGTTGAGAATAATATGTTGGTGAAGAATTAAGGCTTGAATCGAATATTCTCTGTCTCTGTCTCTCTCTCTCTTCTTTCTTTCTTTTAATCTTTTAATTTCCTCCTACTCATACACTAGGGATTTTAATTGTTTGCTGAATGGTGTTTCTGTAATAGCTAGGGACTTTGAATGCATCAATCAATAAGATCAGCTGCTATTTTTTTTTTTTTTTAATAAAAAAAAAGAGTCCAAATAAACTGTTTTTATATATAAACTATATCCAATCGATGGCGTGAACTATGTCCCTTCATATTAGAGATTGTTAGTTGGATATTCTGGCAGATATGACATACACACACAACTAAAAAATTGTAACAAACAGGAGAAGAACAGAGAAGCAAAACAAGGTTGTTTTTATTTATTTATTTCTTTCTTTTAATGATAAGGAAGCTCTCCAAGATAAACAAAAGTTCATTTTTTTTTTTGGTTTTTGATCCAACATGTACATGAAGTATTTATACATAGACATGACTCACTGTTTGGTTTAGTTTTTGACAACTGTTTTTTGTGTTTCTTAACTTGTAGTCAAATTTTTTTCATATTTGTGAAAAAATCTAAAAAAAGTTTACTAAAGACATAAAAACACAAAAATATGTGGGTTGACTAAAATATAAAAAAAGTTCGCAAAATACAAAAAAAAAAAAAAATTAAAAATTAAAACAGTTTTTGAATTTAAAAACCCAACAAGTTCAGTTGTTGAAACTTCTCATTCGATAATAATGTCTTGGTAAAAACATCAACTATGCTTCTTTGTTTTTGGGTGAATAACTATGCTTCTTTGCCAATGCTACATGGCTGATTTGTTGTCACAAAAAAACTCCAGTAGCTTCTTCTTGTTTCTCACCAATGCCTTCTATTCTCTCAACCAAATGATTTGAGACATTGCCATTGCAGCTGAACATATTCAGCTTCTGCTGAGGATTGAACAATTGATTGTTGTTACTTTGAAGACCAAGAAAACATACTAGAATCCTAGAGAAAATGGATAGCCAAAGCTACTATTTAATTATTTAGTAGTTTTGGAGTATCAGGTTGCATTACTTACGTGATGTTTCAAATTAATGATGTACTGGGAAATTTGATGGATAGGACATGGAGATTTACTTTTATTAGGTAATTAACAAACAAAGTGTTAATTAATATACTCGAGGGAATGTTTACTCATTACCAATTAGTTTTGAGTTTGATACTTTAACGTGATATTAAAGTTGGGTCTTGAGTGATCTCCAGTGAACTAAACCTCTGTCCGAGTCTATTCTCTCGTCACTCATGTTTTGTCACCTCCACATACTAGCCGAACTACATGTATGGGATGTTTTAACACAAAAGCAGGGTTGGTGTAGAGATTTTAAGGGCCCAAGGCAAAGTTTTAAATTGAGGCCCTTCATATATTTAAAAAAAAATAAAAAAAATCATTTATTTAAAATTTTTACCCTGACGGTGTATAATAAAAATTCAAAATTAATGTAATAATACGAGTCATACTTAGACTGAATGAGATTTATAAATATATTTTTTTGATTTTGTTTTAAAGGAAGAAACAATTTTTTTTTTTTATCAAATTGAGAATCTTGATGAAAATTTTAAAAAATAAAGCATTGAAGATAATTTTTTTTTAATCAAATTTAATAAAAAGGGAAATTTGGGATATGAAGAGAATTTTTAGAAAGATTTACATAAAAATTTGATGAAAGAGTTGCAATAATTCATATCAAATCAAGTTTTTTACTCAAATTTAGAATTAAATTAGATGAAAAAAAGTAATGAAGAGTTGGAGATGCTCTAAAGACCTTTAATTTAGTTTGTTAAGTTACATTAGTTGGTTTGGACTTTTATTTTTAAACCTACCAACACCATATTTCGGGCCCTTAAAATTTAATGAAATTTGAGACCCAAGGTAGCACAGCTTGCTCGCCACTTATATTGTGTTTGGTTTGGGGATTTGAAAAGAAAAAGGAAAAAAAATGTGAGAAACTAGGTGAAAATAAGCATATTTTATTCACATTTTACCTACTTTTTTTATTTTCCTTTTCAAATTCTTTCTCAAATTTCCTAACCAAACACAATATTAAGATGTACAGAGACACTCAGCTTAAGGTGTATAGAGACATTCAGCTTTTCCCGTCTTCTTTCATTAGCTTCTCATTTGCAATTGAAGTATTCCAACATATAATTTTTGTGAAATGAATAACCCGCCTTTATCTTGATTATTTTGTTATGTGGTTTAAGTTAAAATATTTTTTTCTTATCAAATTAAATTTTAATGGTTATTTGTCTTCAATTAAATCATATTAATTGAAGTTAAAAATTTTAAGAACTAAATAGATGAAATAATAGTTTTAACAATGAAATAGAAAAAATAGCAATAATTCAAACGATAAAAATGAAATCAAACCAAAATTAAATGCACAGAGGACCTAAGTAAGGTATAAACAAGAGAAATGCCAAAATTAGTTATTTATTTTTTTATTCGGAAGAATTAGATTAGTTAAGTTAAGCATCCAACCTACAAATTAGAGCATTATAACAGTTTCTAAAAAGCAAGCTAAGCATGGAAAGGTCTAAGAATCCACACTTAAATTATTTCATTTTAAAATAATAATACTTCTATCTTTGGTTCATAGGTTGAAAATATTTTCAATTTCATGTAAACCAAAACCCTCGAGTAAATCAAACACATTCCACCAATAAAGACACTATACAGAATATACATAATTATTCTGAAATCCTTATATTTCAAAAAAAAAAAAAAAAAACCTTTAAGCCTTGTTGTATTCATAAAAGTACTCATGCGTATGAAAAAGATACATTGTAATAGAGGATTATTATTATTTTTTCGTTAGAAAAAACCAAAGAGAACGCATGCAATTGTACCCGTACCAAATAGGTATGAAATACCAATATTACCTTCCTATCCTTTTAAGTATTGACATGCTTTCTGTGCATGTCAGTGAAGTTGTCACTTCTCCTCTCATAGTGCATTGAGCTGCACTGGTTTTGTGTTTAACTTTTTGTTTTTCTTGGTTTTTTTTTTCCTAAACACCCGTGAGTTGTGCATGTTAGTGAAGGGCAAAAGTGTCTTTTTGCCCTCTGCATACTCAGCCCCAAATTCCTGCTCAAACATTGTGAATAGTATAATTTTTTTTTGCTTTTTTAGTGATTTTTTGACTTTTTATCTTTTTTAGGTGATGCCAAACAAGCACTTAGTCAAAACCTCTCCATTAAACCCTTGTTTGGTGAAAATGACAATTCAATTTATTTTTTTTCATAAAAACCCAGGCGTAAACACATAATTGAGTAAGGATAAAGTAATATATATATATTTTCTTTCTTAGATAATATTGCCAGAGTAACATGTTACTGTGAGACAAAGTAACATGTTACTATCAAATAGAGTAATATGTTACTGTTACTGTTTACATCAATTTCAACCGTAATAATTTTTCTTTTTAAAAGAATTTCATAGTCAATATGGATCTTATTTGATAAATCTTGATGAGAGAATTCTAAAAATATTAATTTTATTAAAAATCGGCATTTACATCAAAAGTTGTATTATTTAAAATTTAGGCCTTGTTTGGCATAATCTAAAAAAGCTAAAAAGTTAAAAAGTCACTATCCTATTTAAGTCATATCACTTCTCTAGCACATCACTTAAAATCCAACCTATACCCAACCCATATTTCATAAAAAGTCAAAAAGTAATCCCAAACCACCCCTTAATATTTTAATAATAGAGATATCTGTTAGACTTTTTAATTTTTTTTTTTGTACTTGTTCTTAATGTATTTAAATTTTATTATGAAAAGATTTTGACCAAACCCCCCAATATACTACTGGTTAGACAAATAATTATTATGTTGTCATGTGCAAAAAGCATCTAGTTTGATTTGTAAAGCGTGTCCGAAACCAATTACTTAATCATTTGTCAAAATAACATTCCATATTCTTTATCAAAAGCCTTGAGTGTCAAATTGCTAATAGAGTTGTAATTCAGATAAAAGAATCCAATAGAAACTAATGTAATTTGCATTAAAAAATGTGACTAGCTTCATTGATTTTGCAAAAGATTGATATATTGATAAAAATACCTGTTTTTTTAATCTTAAAAAAAAAAAAAACTAGTCACTATCAATAATTTTAATTAAATTATACAAAAATCCACTGTTTACAATGGCACACTCTCACTTAGAAGATACAGAGGTTCTCAATGGAATAAAATCACATATAGAATTAAAATACAAGAATTGGATATTCAAATGAAAACAAAACTTGTTAAATTGGATTATGGAATTTTTCTTAGGCAGTTGATGAAGACTTGTAAAGGCAGTATTTTGGATTTTCCTGCTCCTTTAACTTAGGAATTCGCGATGTGAATGGATTGGGAAGCAAAAAACATACAAAATTAAGGATATGGTAAAAATAGATAAAGTTGTATTTCTATAGAGAGAAAGATAAATTATAGAATAACATGTCCATAGACAGAAAAAGAAAGATAAATTATGGAATAAAATTTCAATAGACTAGTGTGATAACAGAGATGTATAAATAGGTCTCTTTTATGTGCACAAAGGCATCACCCACTTCACAAACATTTGGTCTCTACACCATCTAACTACAGACTATGGTGAGTCTTAGTTCATTCAAATTCTCTTTCATCTTTTTTTTCTCTATTTAGTTCTGTTATCAACACAGAAACCAAATACAAAATACATATGGATAAGATTTTTAAATGTTGGGGGAGCCCACTTTTAAAAAATCTTATCTGGCCATATACAATTTTGTAATCGGTTTCTGTATTTCTGGACTTGTTCCTATCTCATTCATTTTTGTTACAGACAGAAATAAACACATAATACATATAAATAGACAAGATTTTTTTGTGAAAAACTTGTCCATTCACATATATTCTGTTTGATTCTGTGATCGGTTTTTGTATTTGTAAGAGGGGCTAATTTGAGCCCACTAAATTATTTAGGCCCAATAGCCCAAGATTAGTGGGCCCGAATTTATCGCAAGTCCAAGAATCGGTGGGCCCAGATTTATCGCCATCAAACGGATTGAATCGCTCTAAGCCTCGAAAGGGTTCGGATCCACGAACCTAGAGACTTACTCAGGCCCGGATTTTTTTTTTTTGGTATATAATGATTAAAGCTATCATTTGTTATATTTTTTCAAATACAATTCAAATAATTTTTTATCATTTTTTTATAAATAAAATGGATTAAAACTATTCTCTTATATAATTTTTATAATACTATGACATTCTTATCTTGATTAATTTTTTTAAAATGATGTAGGAACTATGCAAGTATTATTCAAACTATGGAGAATGATTTATACTTTGATATGATATGAGTGTGTCATTGATAGATGAAATCAAAGATAGAGAGTTGCTAATATAATCAATTAATGATTTGTTTGAGAAGTTCTTTTTATAAGCAATGCAACAAACTTAGATTAAAATTTTTTAAAAACTACTTATAAATTATAATTAAAAGTTGATATTTATTCATAATTTGATCCCACAATAATAATATACACCATTGATTTAAAAGTCCAAGTAAATTTATGATAACTTTTCTGAGTTTATAGAATTTCTCTCTTTTAATGTTTTGTTTAGTTTGATACAAGTTATTTATGTTATCAAGTGATTGTGATACTATTATTCTCAACAATTTTTATAATTAATAATTTCTCATGCATATCAAATTTTATTGTAAAATTTTGTGATTTAATTATTGTTAACATCTACCTAGATGGTTTAATATTATGGCTTGTCGCTATTAAGATATAATTTAAAATTAAGATGATTTATTTATCACACAAAATATATATAGTTTATTTTTTCGTGCATCGCACGGGTTACCGCTAGTATATATTATAGCAAAGTGATTGTTACGTCTTGGTTTTAAAAGAATTAATTAAGTGAAAACTAATTAATTCAGCGTATATTATTAGTTTAAACCCTCTTTTACTCATTTAGCCTTTTTTTTTTTTTTTGTCCAAAATCATTTCCTTTATCATGTGCAAAAGACATCTAGGTTGGTTTGGGATATTCTAAAAAAGTGTATTTTTTGATTTATTGACTTATATGAGTTGAGTTTGGGTTGGGTTTGATGTGATGTATTAGAAAAGTAATGTAATTTAAATAAGATGATGTGACTTAAATATGTTAGTGACTTTTTGACTTTTTATATTATTTAGTGTACCCCAAACCAAACCCTAGTTTGAATTGTAAAGCGTGTCCGAAACTAATGTAATTTTGCATTAAAAAAATGTGACTAGCTTCATTGATTTTGCAAAAGATTGGTATATTGATAAAAATACCTCTTTTTATTATTATTATTATTTTTTTAATCTTAAAAAAACTAGTCACTGTCAATAATTTTAATTAAATTATACAAAAATGAACACTCTAACTTAGAAGATGCAGAGGTTCCAAATGGAATGAAATCACATATAGATAAAATACAAGAATTGGATATTCAAATGAAAACAAAACTTGTTAAATTCGATTATGGAATTTTTCTTACGCAGCTGATGAAGACTTGTAAAGGTAGTATTTTGGATTTTCCTGCTCCTTTAACCTAGGAATTCACGATGTGAATGGATTGGGAGGCAAAAAACATACAAAATTAAGCATATGGTAAAAATAGATAAAATTGTGTTTCTATAGAGAGAAAGATAAATTATAGAATAAAATGTCCATACACAGAAAAAGAAAGGTAAATTATGGAATAAAATGTCAATAGACTAATGTGATAACAGAGATGTATAAATAGGTCTCTTTTATGTGCACAAAGGCATCACCCACTTCACAACCATTTGATCTCTACACCATCTAACTACATACTATGGTGAGTCTCAGTTCATTCTAATTCTCTCTCATCTTTTTCTCTCTATTTAATTCTGTTATCAACACAGAAACCAAATACAAAATATATATGGATAAGATTTTCAAGTGTTGAGCCCACTTTCAAAAAATCTTATCTGGCTATATACAATTTTGTGATCGGTTTCTGTGTTTCTGGACTTATTTCTATCTCATTCATTTTTGTTATAGACAGAAGTAAACACATAATACATATAAATAGACAAGATTTTTTTGTGAAAAAACTTATCCATTCACATATATTCTGTTTGATTTTGTGATCGGCTTTTGTATTCCTAAACTTATTCGCATGTCAATTGTTGTTCTGCTATTGATGAACACAGGAAGGCCAGCAAGCTTACGAATCCTTGAACTCATGGAGTCAGAAAAAAGGAGGATTCAAGGCTTGCATATTTATTTATGGTAAGAAATGTTTTTTGAAGAAGATTAAACTACAGTCTACAAACCAAAGTTGAGGCTGTCTTTGTGATCTCATTAATATTAATACATTACATACATAAAACTAATTACACCCCATCTAAAAAAATAAACACAAACTGATTAATCTGTTTCTTAATGTTTTTTGAAGCATTGTCGACCTTAGATAGCATTGGATCCATTGCAAACATGTTCGTTTTTGTTCTCTACTTCAATCACGTGATGCGATTCGATCAGTCTCAATCTGCAAATACTTTCACAAACTATATGGGTTCAACTTTTCTACTCTCTGTCGTCGGAGGTTTCATCTCAGACACTTACTTGAGTAGGCTCACCACATGTTTGAGCTTTGGACTACTTCAAATATTGGTAAATTAAATTTCACTCTCAATCTAAATGCAAGCTCATTATTGGGCCACCTTTATTTATTTATTTATTTAAATTCTTAAACACAAGCTCTTCTAATGATTAAACTCTAGCTTCTTTTAATAATCAACACTCTGTGTTCTTCTCCCCGTTTGGTTCTATGATGCAGGGATGCATATAGAATAAATGAAAAACACAAGGAGAACAAGAGCAATACAGAAAATAAAACTTTCTCTGGATTTTGTTACTCAATTTATGAATGCTTAGTTGCTTTACAACCCAATTATAGTAAACGTTGTTTGGTAACTAAGCCACAATTCACACTCCAGATCAAACAAAAATTACATAGAGTCAGAAACTATTCAAAATAGCATATTTGACTTGAGTATAAATTTTGAATCTAGAATAAAAAAAAGAGACATTCCAAAAAAATCGTGATTCAAAAAATATTTGTCTAATTAAGTATTCAAATCTTTTCAAAAATAGTAAATTTTCTAATTTGGTGGCCTAAACGATGAAATTTACCCAAAATTCAGTGCATATCAAAGTAACCTTGTTGGGCCATTTCAAATCGAATGAGTATTTTGGGCCTCATCTGACAGCCTTAGAACATCGTCAAAATTATTGTTTTTCCATCAAATGGTCAAACTGCTATATGAATTTGTTGTTAATCACCATTGCATTATCCTAGCTCAATTCATTCATGTATCATTTCCAGGCATTGACAATGATCACAATCCACGCCTTCTCGAAAAAATTGCATCCTGATGATTGTGGCAAGGCAACTTGTGTAACAGGGGGTGAAGCACTTATGTTTTACGGCTCCCTCTATCTGTTAGCACTAGCTGCAGGTGGAGTTAGGGGGTCCCTTACACCACTTGGAGGTGACCAATTCGACCCAAAGGATAAAAAAGGAGCTAAGGGTCTTGCAACTTACTTCAATTGGTATGTACTAAGTACAACCCTGGGAGCAATTGTGGGAGTAACTGTTGTTGTGTGGGTTAGCATGAACAAAGGTTGGTCTTGGGGTTTTCTAATTGGTACTATTACTTCCTCTCTTGGTTTTATTGCTCTTGCGCTTGGAAAGCCTTTCTACCTTATCCGACCTCTAGGGACAAGCCCTATTACAAGGGTAGCACAGGTCTCTCTCTCTCTCTCCCCCCATGTATGTATATAACATTAAAAAATGGTAGGTACCAGGAATTAAAACATACACTTTTTGAGCCACAAAAAACACTTTTTATGTGCCCTTTTCTATGTTTTAATTTTCTACATTTAGCATTTCTAATGTAATGTTCCTAACAAATTATTATTTATACCTGTGCGGTAGGTTATTGTGGTTGCAATTAGGAATAGAAGGTTGAAACTGCCAGTAAGTCCTGAAGAACTATATGAAATTAATGATAAAGAAAGAGACCTTGCAGAAGAAAAGGTTTCACATACCAATCAGTTCAGGTAACATCTCCCCTAAAAGATAGTTCTTTGTGACACTATGAACTTGTCACAGAATTGGAAGAACCTACCACTGAAGTCATTTTCATTAGTGCTAATTTGGGTGGCATGGTTTGATGGTCATTCCTCACCATGGCAGTAAGATCATATTGAGTAAAGAATAAGGTATATATGGGTTAGAGTTTGGAAACAAATCAATGAAAATTTAAGGAACATTAACGTTTGAAAACAATTTTTAAGAATTCTTAAAACAAATTTTCTGTTTCCTAAATATGGAATGTTTTCAGGAAAACTTATTCGACAAATTGCACTGGAACTCCCAATTTTTTGTTTACAATCAAGATTTGTATACTTCCAATGACTGTCTTCTTTTATCATATGAACCATATATGCACCATTTTTTTATATATAGTTACGCTTTATATTGAAGTTATGTTAAAAACAACCATGGTTGCTTAAATGATTATTGTTGTTAAAACTAGGTCGCTGGACAAAGCTGCCATTCTTCCAGACGGCATGAATCCAAATCCATGGAGAGTATGCACTGTGACACAAGTTGAAGAAGTGAAGATACTAACAAGAATGTTGCCCATCTTAGCAAGTACAATCATAATGAATACATGCATGTCCCAGTTGCAGACATTCTCAGTAATCCAAGGCCTCTACATGTATCCATATTTAGGTTCTTTTAAGTTTCCTACAGCCTCAATACCCGTAATTCCCCTAATTTTTATGTCTCTCCTCATTCCTGTATATGAGTTTCTCGTGGTTCCATTTGCCCGAAAGATCACTGGCCATCCAGCCGGTATCACTCAACTTCAACGTGTTGGTGTTGGGCTTGTTCTATCAATCATTTCAATGAGTGTAGCTGGGATTATTGAGGTGAAGAGAAGGGATCAGTTCTTCAAAAACCCGATGAAGCCCATTAGTGTCTTCTGGCTTTCCTTCCAATATGGTATTTTTGGAATCGCAGATATGTTTACTATGGTTGGATTGCTGGAGTTTTTCTACAAGGAAGCTCCGTCTGGAATGAAATCATTGTCCACTTCTTTTGCACCACTGTCACTCTCTTTTGGCGCCTTCTTAAGCACTATTTTTGTTAATATTGTAAACGCCATCACCAAGAGTGCTACTCGAAGCAAAAAAGGGTGGTTGGAAGGGATCACCTTGAACGATAGTAAACTCAATCTATTTTATTGGTTCCTAGCTATCCTCAGTTGCATTAACTTTGCAAACTATCTGTTTTGGGCTTCATGGTACAAGTATAAAGACAATAATGCTATAGAATCCCAAATGGAAACGAACGCTTTGGACGGTTCATCGTGTATTTCCGAAGTCGAAGACACTCAGGTGGGATAAGAAGTTGGTTGGTGAAGAACTAGGAGGATACACTCGAGAATAATACATTTGTGAAGAATTAAGGTTTCAAACGGATCTTCTCTTTTTGTCTTTCTTTTAATCTTTTAATTTTGTCCTAGTCATATATTTGCAATTGTGATTGTTGGCTGGAATGGAACTTCTGTAATAGCTAATGACTTTGAATCCATCAATGAATAAATCAGATGCTATTTTTTTTAGACAATTTTTTATTTTATTTTTTTTATATTTGTTATTTGAGTTGACTTCAAAACTATGTCTGCTGGACTGTGTCAACTATGCCCTTGATATTAGAGATTGTTGTCTGGGCCTTATAGAAGATATGACACACAAAAAACAACTCAACTCACACTCAGCCCTTATTAGTAGAGAAAGGAGTAAAGAACAGTGTAGCAAAATAGTTTTTATTTTTTATTTCTTTTTAACACAATGTATTTATACATGAAGATGGCTCATTCTGGGCCTTACAAGTGGACCACCTGAAAATTATACAAATAAATTTTAGTTAAATAAACCAAACACAATGCTTCTATTCTCTCAGTTGTTGAAACTTACCCGTTGGTAAAACTATGGAAATTACTATTCAGTGGGAAGTTGGGCAATTATTTACTAGAGACTGAGAATGTTCTCGAGGTGCAACTTTTGTTATATTTTTTTGCATAGAAAGAGTTGCACCCCCATGTATTTCTAATTATTTTTAATCACGTGAGCTGATTTGTCATTTCCCCTAAAAATATCAACTATGCTTGTTTTGCCTGGTCTTAATTGTGATAAACAGACTTCTTTGCCAATACCCTCCTCGCAGTCGGCCTTCTCACTCGGTCATCCTTTGCGGTCGGCCCTCCTTGTAGTCGGCCTTCTCACTTGGTCACTCTTTGCGGTCGGCCCTCCTCGCAGTCGGCCCTCTCACTCGGTCACCCTTCGCGGTCGGCCTTCTCATTTGGTCACCCTTTGCGGTCGGCCCTCCTCGCGGTCGGCCTTTTCACTCGATCACTCTTTGCGGACGACCCTCCTTGCGGTCGGCCTTCTCACTCGGTCACCCTTCGGGGCCGGCCCTCCTCACAGTCGGCCCTCTCACTCGGTCACCCTTCGCGGTCGGCCCTCCTCGCAGTCGACCTCGGTCACCCTTTGCGTTCGGCTCTCCTCGCGGTCGGCCTTCTCACTCGATCACTCTTCATGGACGGCCCATCTCACGGTCAGCCTTCTCACTCAGTCACCCTTCGTGGTCGGCCCAAATCCCAGTCGGTCTTCTCTCTGTCAACCTCTCACAGCCCCTGTTTTCTTCCTTATTCCCTTCGTTGGACTAAAGTTGCACTTGAGAATGGGGACTGCTGACATAGGTGGGCTTATAGGAGCTTTTGGCCCACCACTTAGAGCCCAATACATAATTCAAACACTAAAGCCCAACATTGCTGGAGCTCAACGTGGCATCAAGGACCAATGACATCTAAACGTGTGGCAAGAGAAGAACCAGCCACATAAACAGACAAAGATCCTGCAGAGTTATTACACCACACATCAACTATTAATGAGGTTCCCTGCAGCATTTATTGCGATAACCCCTTCACGTCGGAACAGAACGACCTCACCATGAACAAGGCAAGCTAGAATGTAGACTTTCGGCCAACGTGGCAGGTCGGAATGGACAAAGAAATGATAAGCAAATGATATAAGCAGGTTTCTAAGACAAGGAGAAAGTTAAGTTTTTTATTAACATCCTATCTCTATATGCCGTTGATAGCCCTTCTCTAACTTGCTCGTTGGAGGGTTCGCTGGGGGACTCCCGTTCCCCGTTGAACTCTTGTGCAAGTTTCTCAGTGGGCTAGCGATTGGACAACCGTGTGGGAGGCCTGGATCAGCCCGACCCGTTACTTAGAAACCAGTAGTATCATCATTTTTTGCATAGAAAGAGTTGCACCCCCAATGGATTTCTAATTATTTTTTATCACGTGAGTTGATTTCTCATTTCCCCTAAAAATATCAACTATGCTTGTTTTGCCTGGTCTTAATTGTGATAAATAGACTTCTTTGCCAATGCTAAACTTCTATAGAGACATCCCACATTTTCCCTCCAAGTCTTATTTCATTCTCATTCTCTACTAAAGGTGTAGAAATGGGCAACCAAGCATTCTGAATTTTTCAAAATTTTTCCAGCATAGGATTTTTTTTTTCCTTGAAAGGAACACGCCATCTTTATCTTGAGTGTTGATTTATATGGTTTAAATTGTTCAAATTTTGAAATAATCTTTTTGTCTATCAAATTGGGTTTTAGCGCTTATTTATTTAGATAACCGTCTTCAATTGGACTAGGTGAACAGAAATTAAAAATTTTAAGAATTAAATAGATGAAACTAGTAGTTTGAGGATAACCAAACCAAACCAAGTCTTAAGTCCTATCAAATGGGGTCGGCTACATGAATCCTTCTTCTCCACGCGGCCTTATCAAAGGCCATTTCGTTAGTCAAATTAAGTAGATCCATATCTCTATTTACAACGTTAACTAACGTTAATCTAGGCCTACCCTGTCCCCTAACACTTCCGTCTACTGTTACAGCATCTCATCTCTTCACTACTGCATCTGTTGGTCTCCGTTGAATATGACCAAACCATCTCAATTGATTTTCTCTCAACTTATCTTCTATCTGTGCTACTCCTACCCATTCCCGAATATACTCATTCTTAATTCTGTCTTGTCTAGTCTTGCCACACATCCACCTTAGCATTCTCATCTCAGCCACACTCATCTTATCCACATGTTGTTTCTTGGTTGCCTAACACTCCGTCCCATACAACATTGCTGGTCTAATAGCCGTTCTATAGAACTTACCTTTAAGTCTAGTAGGTATTCGTTTATCGCATAGTACCCCAGACGCACTTCTCTACTTATACCATCCCGCCTTAATCCTATGGGCCACATCCGCATCAATCTCCCCCGCTGTTGTGATAATCAACTCTAAATAGCGAAAATGTTCACTCTTAGGCAGCTCTTGATTCTCAATCTTCGCTTTTCCTCTGCTTTCATTGTTACTGTTACTAAATTTACACTCCATGTACTGTAATGCCCCAATTTTTCATACCCAAATGATAATACAATAATCATGACTCTTTAAAGTAAAACTGAAAACACATCTCCACACTTGCATTACATGATACAAATAGTCTTCATGAGATAATACATTCACTCCAAAACAAGGTAACATAAACAAATAAATACCTTAATGGGTTTATAAGTTTCCAAGGCTTAGGCCCGGTTACACAAATCGGTTATTCAAACCCACAAAAATACAACCCTTGGCTTACAAAACAGAGTCACGCAAAATGAGAGCATTGTGCTCTAACACACACACTTCCACGCCTTTAATTGGGCAGAATCACCACGTCATTTCCTGCACAAAAATCCCATAGGGTGAGCTTAAAGCCCAGTAGGAGAACCTTAACAAAGTATATACATTTTATATAAGTCTCAAGAGATGAATACACATGCCATACTAGGTTCTTTTAAAAGTAAGACACATCTTTATCTTTTGAAAATCATTATGCTCAATGATGTCATGTAACTCCAACTGTTTAAAATTAACCAATTTAACTCAAGGGGCGGTAAATACAACTCTGGTAATTCCCTAACTCGGTGTCTGAAAGTAGACTATACAAGTACTACCAATTGTCATTTTTATCGGTATTAACCGAAAGGCTCGACACTTATCCGCGCGACATTCTGGTCTTTCACCAAGGACACTCAGGCCAACTTAATCAATTTCATCTACACCACCTATCAAGACTTACTAGCGTATTCACCCCAAAACCATTTCATGAAAATCCGCTTCCCAACATTCTTTTCTCAATGCAAGGTTTTCAAATCAACGTTCAAAGTTTAATGCAATCGAATGAATTGATATGCTAATGCAATAATAATCAATGCAATGCAACAATTCTTCCATTTTCAATTCTTCCACACAATACTACTATTGTGATCAAAATTTTCATTTCTCCTTTCCATGCCATTTCACAAGATGAATAGGTACATTTATTCCAATTCATTCAAGGGATAACCATTTCCCACATTTCAAGCATTCTCTACAAATTGGCCATTTCAAGACTAAATCAACATTTTGAATAATAATTTCCAAAATGAACAACAATTCCCATATTTCACAAACTTCATCATTTATATATGTAAATAAACAATCTTCAAAACATCCATTTATTTTAACCAAAAAAAATAAATATGACAACATCTTCCAAGGATTTTCAACATCTTTCAAAAAACCCTATTTCTAGGTTTTCTCACCAAAACCATTGATCTCCAAAATATTTAGAAGGATCTCACCAAAATCATCTTTCTTCAGTCGATATAATTCAAACCCTCAATTTCCATTTTTAAAAGGAAAAGAAAATAAACCCACTTTCAAAATTACTCTTCTTCTTGAATCATCAATCCATTTTTTCAAAACTAATCAAAGGATGATTTTGAAAATCATCTAGATCTTGCCAAAAACATACATATAACTCAAAGGAAAATCCTTACCTGAAGTTTGAAGAAGAATTGAGTTGAAACCCTAAAATCAACGATGTCTAAACACGATCTTCACCGCACACAACGTAGCCCTCGCCTAGATAACCAACTTTGATGAAGAACTTGGATCTAAATCCCAATGGATTTGGAGAAATCAAATATCTTGTGAGGTTTTTGGTAGAAAATGTAGAGAGAAGGGAGTGGAAATGTTTTTAGAGAGAGAGATATACAAAAAGTGACATTCAATCAGCTCAAAGAGAGAAGAAAAGGAAAAATTCCGGATCTACCTAACTTCCCGCACGTGTGGAGCCTTCTCCCACATGTGCCGCGCGTGCTCCCGCACGTGCTGCCCTCATCCCTGGACGTGCGACAATTCTTCCCCGTACCTCCAGCTGCACCTGCTTTTTTAGCAGAATGCTTCACTCCCTTCACCTGATTTTCGCACGTGCGGCCTCACCTCCTGCACGTGCGGCCCTCTCACACATGTGTGGCCCAAGGCCCTGCACGTGCGGCCCTGGTCCCCAGCCCGGAATTTCCTCGGTTCAACTCCCGACACACCGGACTTGACCCTACACCCTCTGAGACAAGAGAAACTCAACACCAGAGTAAACAAGAATAAGAACTTTTTGAGAAAACTTCTAAACACAAAAACCCATATGAACAACAAGATCCCA